TGTCGTTCAGTGTAACAGTCTGGAGGCCTGGAAGATGCACAGAGCATATCTGGGCAAAGGCCAAGGAGGGATAGCCAAAAGACTTTGGTAAGCACTAAGCCTTACAGCTGCTTTAAAGTGGGATCAACAACCCCCTTAACTAGATCTCTCCTTTACGAAAAAGGCTGATTTATAACTGACTTATAAGGAACCCTACTTCCTTGTCACCTGTTGCTAATATAGGCTTTCTTTTGCAGACCCATACATCAGAAGCTTGGTTTTCTTCAAAGTTTCTTTCCTTGCAGGTAGCCCAGACCTCCCGACGCATTTGAAGCCATCCTGTGCAACCATCTGATCTCTGACTCTGCAGCTGCTTGGATCACCATAAATCATGGACCTCTCTTCTTCTATTACAAGTATTTAGCATTAAATAACAACAAAGCTTCAACAAGTTTGAATAAGCAACCACAGTTTTCAGGGCTTATACAGATCCACCTTCCAAACCTTATTATGAGATTTGGGTCTTAGTGCTAGAAACATTTTCAACTGAGTGAGGGGTCTAAGGCTTCTATGCTGTTCTTGCATATTTACTGTCATCTTGACTCATCCCTAGCTGCAGGAATTAATCACATGAGCATGTTACCATGTTAAGAAAGTTGTCTAAGTCAACAAATTTCAACACTGCACAGGCCAAGAGCACACAGGGCACCCCATGCCATGCATGGTAACTCATTATGAAAACTCATTCATATCTTGAGTCTGCAGGGAGGAGTTATAAGATAGACTTAGCAGAAGGGGATTAAACCTTCTATCACTGCTACCTCTGATTTAGATGCATGAACATTAATGGAAGAAGGTAGCCACCAACACTACTATTGCCTAGAGAAGCTGTAAATCAGAGGCCCTGAGCATGTAACTAGGGATTAGGGACTCCTACGCATCAAAGGCTCCTATAAGAACTACCATTAGCAACTGCAAGAAGTTTTTGAAAAACACCTTTCTTTTGTAAATGGAGCCAGAGGAGTGCAAAATATTCCAAGAGCCTGTGCAACATAAAAGTTTAAGCAGAACTTCAACAACCTAATACCATTTCTATATGGATAAAGGAAAGGGGTTTTCCTGACATGACAAATTGCAAATCTGTGCTATTCACTGTGAAATATGTTGTCTCCATTTATTTACTGCCTATTCAGCTGCAAATATCTGCTGACCATTAAAAAGCTTGAAACATAAAGGGAGCACAGTACTTGTGGAGACTGATAAACGGATACATTGATGCCTCCAAAAACTACCCAATTAATTCCTTTGCTCTCTGTTTCCTTTATTCCAGACAACATTATTGAGAACACTCATCAGACAGTTCTTTAGTCCAAGCAATCATAAACACTGTCTCACTGCACAGTTCCAGTTTATTGGAACAATAATTTAACACATAAAGAATTTTGTATATATGTCGGTATTTATGTACCTGCATATATTCGTACAACAGCTTGTATCAACCGAGTTAATCTGCAAGCCTGTAGAATAGTAGGTGGTCAGATTTTAGTGAGGTATGGATAAATATTTTTCTGTATCTTATCTACCACTTTTAAACAAAAAAAGTAAGTGACTGAACTTCAGTTTATGTATCTGTTGCAGGGCCTGCTCCTATTACATGCTGGATGTTGTCCATAATTCTTATTTCCTCAACTCCAGGCAAAGTTAGGGAAAACATATGAAAAAGTAATTTTGCAGAAGGGCTGTAAATGATCAGACCCAAAGCCAGAAAAAGAAACGTAACTTCTTTTCTTCCCATAAGACATTATGACAATTTTATGTATGCATAAAATTACTGTAAGTAAAACAGCCGTTTGATTTCATACAAATACAGAGCGGAGTAAATGGCATGTTTGCCTGAATATGCATATAGGAAGATAGTGGAAGTAGCTTTCTAACAATGAAACGGAATGGAACAGGACAGGACAGGATAGACTAGAAATAGGATAGGATAGGATAGGATAAGATAGGATAGGATAGGATAGGATAGGATAGGATAGAATAGAATAGAATAGAATAGAATAGAATAGAATAGAATAGAATAGAATAGAATAGAATAGGAGTATTTCAGTTCAAAGGGACCTACAACAATCATCTAGTCCAACTGCCCTATCACTTCAGGGCTGAGCAAAAGTTAAAGCATGTTATTAAGGGCATTGTCCAAATGCCTCTTAAACACTGACAGATTTGGGGCATTGACCACCTCTCTAGGAAACCTGTTCCAGTTTTTGACCACCCTCTCACTAAAGAAATGCTTCCTAACGTCCAGTATGAACCTCCCTAGACACAGCTTTAAGCCATTCCCACGAATCCTGTCACTGGATCCCAGGAAGGAGAGATTAGTACCGTTCTCTCCACTTGTCCTCAGAACGCTGTACAGAGCAATGAGTTCACGCCTCAGCCTCCTTTTCTCCAAACTCGACAAACCTGACGTAAAACATTAGGACTTATTTTGAGCACTACAGATATCCCAATCAGTGAAAGAGGGAAGTAAAAATGACCATTCCCAGACAGTGACTGTGCACTGCTATGAGGGAGATAGTGAGGGATGGTAGACAGAGTAACTAGAACATCAAAATACACATGATCACAGTCCTAATCATACCCTTATCTAGAAGATTTCTAGCAAATACCTTATGTTGAGATCTGCTTACTAATTGTTTTCATTCTGGGAATGTACTGATACAGCCAACTAGAATATAATTAAAAATACCATAGGAATACAATTTTCTCAGCTGAGAAGTCAGTGTATAAAATTTAGTTTACAGAAAATATCTTTGCTATATAAATAGAATAGCCTACTCCACTGAACCATAGGGTTTGGGGTTTTTCCCTAGTAAGTGAACAGAAAAGCTTGCCAGTAGTCTTCAGTTTCAGTTAACTTCTACAATCACTGGGTTATATTAATGAACACAAGGTCAAGACTCAGCAATTATTTTAGTATTCTGACATATATTTCCCTTGAGTATTTTACGGCTATTCATCCACACGTCACTGTCAAACACCTGGTACATCTTGGATTTGTTTGATTCTGTATGAAAAGGGCTCATTAGTATAAAAATATTTTCATTTAAAAAGTGTCCACACTTTCTAACCCAAAGGCCTTGAAGGAAAATCTCTGGAGTAATTGATTATACAGATTCCTGTTTCTTACCAAAAGGAGTCTATGCAAACAATGAGGTGCATTTTA